CTCCCCAGTTGAGGTCAACAGCTGCACGCCCCTCCAGGTGTCACTATCGCTGCCCACGTGAGCGTTGAATTCCCCCAGTAGAGCAATGGAGCCCCCAGTCGGGTCATTTTCCAGCACCCCTCCCAGGGACTCCAAGAAGGCCGGGTACTCTACACTGCCATTCGGCCCGTGGGCACAAACGGCAGTGAAAGACCTATCCCCGACCCAAAGGCGCAGGGAAGCGACCCTCTCGTTCACCGGGGTAAACTCCAACACGGGGTAAACCCGTGTGTCTTAATTGTGGAGCTAATGTGGCTGTAATTAAGGAATATAAACTAAGATGGCACTACAAGACAAAACATCAGGACAAGCTGCGCTCGTTTGGGCTAAGACTGGCCAGGCCCCGTGAGGGGAGGCCCGGCCACCAGGTGCTCGCATTCGAGCCCCAACCCCAGGCCTGGCTCCGTCACCTAGGACCTGTTTGCCTTGGGAGACCCTACCAGGGGCATATAGCCCCCAACAACATAGCTCCTAGGATCACTCGGGTACTCAAACCCCTCCACCACAATAAGGTGGCAGTTCAAGGAGGTGAGATGATTTCCCATAAAGCAGGTAATGTTAAAACGCAAGTTATCTGGCTGCTGTTAACGCTAACGTGAGCATGGCACCAGGAGGAAACCAGGGGATGCTCAGCCAAAAATATTAATGTTTTTCTCCAAAACTCCAGATACAAATGAAGATGAGGAAGAGAGGTAGAGAAGCGGTAGAAGAAGGGAGAGAGGTGGGAGGGGCAGCAGGGGGGCAGGGGGTTGGCGGCGAGGACTCCAGTGTTAGCATGAGTGATATAGGCATATTATAGGTTATGGGTCAAACGCAACCCCAAATACAGCCCATGGTTTTAAGTTCCAATTTGTTGATCTCATAAATTTAAATCAAAGTTTTAAATGGAAAAGTGTCAAGCTTACATTTTTGATATAGTTTTTGATAAGCACTGATTATGAAAATAGCACAAGTTTGCTTTAAATTGCTGAGCAGTTCAAACTGTAGTTTGCACCAACTTGAGTTTATTATAGTTTGGCATATTTCATTATGTGAATTTCTTTTTCTGTATGTATATTTTTTTTTAAAGATTGTCTGTTCTAACTTCTTTAATTGTGAAGTAACTGGTAGCTTTGGCAGTTTTTGTGTGGAATAAAAGCATCTCATTAATACTTCTTGTTTTACATGACCTTTAAACAGAAGTTACCAACCAAAAGTCTGGTGTTTTGCAACAAATAAATAGGGGAAACACTGTGAAAGCAGGATAAGCAGTGACTTTGACAAGAGCCAAACTGCTCTGGCTGACGACTGGGTCAGAGCATCTCTCAAACTTCAGGTCTTGTTGGGTGTTCCTGGTCTGCAGTGGCTAGTACCTACCAACAGTGGTTTAAGGAAGGACAAACAGTGAACTGGCGACAGGGTCATGGACGCCCACACATTTGTCTAAAAAATATCTAACCTGCTTTCACTCCTTTTACACAAGTTCTTCACTGAACAGTTGACATATTTGTGCTCTTCCTGACAGTATAACTATGGAAGCAAACAGATTCACAGAAGATGCTCAAGGAGTTGTGGAGTGACAAATAACTGCTGAATCGACTCGTGTACACAGTATTAGGCAGGTGGTCATAATGTTATGGCTGACTGGTGTAGATGGGGGTAATGCATACGTTGGTCTTTTCACATATTCCTCTGTCATCTATTTTACCTGGGAAAGGTGGAAGCTCCCCTGGGTGCCTTGAAGGTGGGACACAGTTAGGTCCTGAGGTCTTCTCAGTCCAGCTCCACTCCTCAGATAGACAGAGTCCAACAGTTGATCAACATTGGGCCCAGACTCTGCATTTTCCATGGCATTCTGGGATCCAGTCAGAATCATATCAACAAATATGTCTTTACACACTTGTCATATTCACTGGTATTTTATCCCTCAGCAGTTGTATTACTCTGTGCTTGTTCAGTGCTAATTACATTACATTAATCTGCTTTATAAAATAAAGATGTACTGCATAGGCAGTTTGAAATGCCCATCAGTTGGTCAGTTGAAGTTGCATCACATTTGTCATGTATATGTTCTCACCAGTGCCTCTTGTCGGTCCAGGATTGTGCTCCAGTTGACAGGAGAAAGTCTCTGAGCTCCCAATGAAGGCTCCTGAGAGATGCTGGCCTTCCCTGTTCCTACAGGACCCACACGGTCACCCATCTGGAAAACACCATGTAATTCAAGCAACAGATCCAGAAATCTCTTTAGGTGAACAAGTCAAGAACTATTCAACACAATTCAACAATACAAGAGCAATCAAAAAGTATAAAACCTGTACAAAATAGAAGTCCTCAATATGCACAAAATTGCCTGTGAATTCTCAAAAACATTAAGAATAATCCTTTGTCATTGTCAAAAAGCGCAGGTGTGTCACATAAGATTAATAATATATCCATTACCTTTAGGTGCACTAATGAGCCCACTGGCCTACATGGAAAGCAACCACCACTGATATTAGCTACACCTGTGTGTGTCATAGTACCTGAAGGGAGCGTCATTCTCACCTCCGTGTGTCTGGAAAGGCTGTTCCTGCTATGTCCTGCCAGATTATTTAGATCACCATCCTCATCTTCACCAGCAGTACTGCTACCCACAATCCCTAGCCCACGCAGGACATCATAGGTGGTCTGGACTTTAGTTGTCAGAAGAGGGATGGTGGAAACCCCCCCATCATTCCCGCTTTCCTCGCTTCCACTGCTTCCATCCCCACCTCCCCCATCCCCTAGAGTTAAACAATAGCACAAAACAAACAGGCAATCACCTAAAGATTCAAGGTGACAGACTAGACCAGGGGTCAGCAACCCGTGGCTCCCGAGCCAAACGCAGCTTTTCAGCCCCTCCCTAGTGGCTTCCTGACTCAATGGCTACCAGCTATGCCTGCTAAGTAGAGCTAGCCAGCTGGCATGTTAGCGGGTCAACATCTCTGAAAACATCTGAGCAAATTTCTAAACTGGCATTACTTGGATCAGCTGATCACATATTTGAAAACTACATAGTTATTTTCTCAACTGAAAAAATATCAAAGCTTCATAAAGCGGTAGAACATTATGGTACTAGGACAAAAATTATTACAGCTTTGAGCCTGCCCTGCTACCACCATAGCGCAGTGTCCATTTGCCTCCATCTATTACGAAGTTACAGTATGTAGGTCATCTGAATACTACTCGTGTACATATTTAGCTTTTTCATGGCATTTTGGCTACTACTTTTATTTGCACAAACCCAGAAAGGATAGGCCTGCATTGTTAAAACATATATAAATGCTCATTTAGACCCATTTGTACTGTTGATTGGATAATTAGCCAATAGGCTGTAGTACCTGCTTGTAAAGGGCTCAAATAGTTTTTGGAGCTCCAGGCAGATTTTCTTCTGGTCAACTATACCTCTTCAAATAGTAAAGGTTGCTGAACCCTAGACTAGACTCACATGCTGGTAGATAACTGAAACATAAAAAAAAATCAAGTGTTGTGAAATGATTCTGCTTAAGGCAATTCAATAACGCAGTTTGTGTTGTTAGGTTAAAATTTCATAAAACAGAAATGTTAAAAAAATACTATTTGTATTATTTACATAAACACTGTGAGAACGATTAAGAAACCTCCTACCAGGTAAAAAAAAAAAAACTGTTACTACTGAGTGCTAAAAGCAAGCTCTTTTATTCTGAGATGAAAAAAAGATCTGCTTAATGGTTTATCTCTAGCTTCATTGATGTTTCAAACTTAAGACATTGGGTGCAGTCTGTTTACTTCAACTGTGTAAAACCTGCAACATAAGAACTAGTAACATGTTCCATTTGATTAACACTTGTTGCAGTAATTATATGGGGCTTTAACTCTACAACACTAAGAAAGCAGAAAATCCAGCAAAACAGAAAGAGAAATCAAATCAGGCCAGAGCACATTATTATACCTGTGACAGGAGGGTTGATGACTTGGCCCTCAGCAGATCGTCTTTGTTCAATTCTAGACAGAGATTGACTGCCACGGCCACTCAGAGACTCATCATCAGAACTGCCTCCTTCCAAACCCGGCCTGAAACTGGGACGATTACTCTCTCCAACCTGTGCAATTTGATAGGACTGATCACATAATGAACACCGTTTTTTAGCTCAATACTGAATTATGTTTGAAAAATAAAATCAATTTTTTTTTCCCCTGACCAGTTGTCTGGAAGCACTTGGCAATAGCCGTGTCCTGGTGCCACTGCTGTTCCTTCTGTCTGACTCCAGCTCATCCTCAGTGCCCTCATCACTTGCAGGACAGGAGTCCATACCTGTAGCAGCTAGACGCACATCAGGCATCTGGAAGTCCTCCTGAAGTAAGTACATAAGATGTAGTAAAACAACACAAAAACCCCCCACTAAGAAATACAACATAAATTGTATAGAAAAATATTCATGGTTTAAATTACAGGATTTAAGAGTGATGACTGAATTGCAACTGTTGAAAATAAACTGCATTTTCAAACAGCTGTTCTCCACTTGAGTTAAAAGCAGTACATGGCACAAAGGGTGTGCATTCACCTGATCATAGTCATCAAGGAACTGGTGTCTGTACTTTTCTGGCTCTGCAGAACTTGAGTTTGTTATGTCATCAGCAGCACGAGGCAGTCCCTATGAACAAGTGCTCTAGTGAGTGTGAGCTGAATGAAAAGTTAATGTAAATCAAACTTTTCTTACAGCTTATTAATACTGCTAAAGTTTAAGAACAATTCTGTAAAGTGTTGGCTACTTTGTATTTTTTATTTGAAATGGAAGAACAATCTTACTGTAACAGGAATTTCCTGGCCCTCTACTCTGCCTCTCTGCATGGCAGGAGGGACCAGCTTTTTGAAGTACAGCTCTAGTTCATCATCAGGCAGGTTGTTCCAATCAATGTCATCATCTAGGAATCAAACATACGATTATTACATGACTCAAACTTCGACAGCATCTTAGCAATATACTGTATATTTATTATAACTAAAATATCAAAAGATATACAAATCTATAAAGTAAAATAAACAAAACTGTAGAGGGTTAAAAATCTGACAAGATAAAGCCCAATTACACCTGTGATATCACTGTTAATGCTGTCCACAGACATGAGCTTCTCATTTGCCAGGAAGCTTGAGTTACTGCCACTGAAATGATCACTGTCCATTTCCTCACTCTGCACATTGTCGTCCTCTGCCATAGCTGGTAAGGCCTGAGCCTGTATGGACTGCCCAGGAAAAATGGAAGTTATGTTTGCAAAGAAGTCATTATTTATAATTCCAAATGTGAAACGTATTTAAAAAAAAACATAATTTCATGTTTGTTTGTTTTTTCACATAACTGGCAGGGGTTAACTGTTCAAGATGTAAAAACAAAAAGATGTTAAACTGGAATTAAGCAAAATACAGGGTTTCATTTTTCAATAAACTCAAACTGTCAACCTGTACAAAACAGCCAACAAGACTGGTACCTTTGCATCTTTATGTCCGGGCTCAGAAAAAGTGAGAAGCCCTGTTGACAGATCTGCCAGGAGACAAAAGGTTTTTAGTATATCCAAAGAAAATGTATTCATTTTGATAATGACTATCATGGCTTCTCTATATCAGAGAACACAAGTGCCCATTTGGTATTAGGTGAAGCCAGCACAGACAAGCATTTCATTCAGGGATGGTGTTGCAGAGTCTCTGGCTGGGTAGTACAGGTACTGTGTTTTACCTCTACAGCTATACAGGAGCAAGACATCTTACCTGTTCCAAGTTCTGTGGGACGGCCATGCACCAAGTCCATCTGTGCAGGAGGCAGACCCAGCATGGAGCCTTGGTTTCGAGATGCATTCTCATCCAGATTAATCTTTACCAGCATGTCTGAAAGACGGTGGGCTGCGATGAAGTCATCAGCATTGTCCCTGTGATGAAGGTGACGTGCCATAAATAATTAGGACCACATAAAGCATGTTGAATATGATGGAACAAAAAAATTAATATGTTTCACATTATGATAGTGTGTAAAAAGAAACTCCTTTCTACGGCATATAAAAATTGTTATAATTAGAATGTCACACTTTTATTATGATTTACTGACACTTTGCTAAAATGGTTGAAAATGAGAAATACTGTACATTGGTCTGTATGAAGAGAAACATTTATCTAAAAAGTATCTAACTTGTGTTTTCAATCCCTACACAAATGCTTTACTTGCCAAATGTACATAACTGAAAGTACTTAATGAAATAATTCAACCTACATTGGTTGACTCACAAAAATGTACCCTGAAATACATATGCACTGTATTATATAGTATGGCTTTTGCGTGACAAACTATTACAAGCAAGCAAGCAAGCAAAATTTTTTTATATAGCACCTTTCTAAACCTACATTACAAGGTGCTGTCCAGTAAAACATAAAAATACATAAAACCAGATAAAACACATCTACATAACAGCAAAAATGCATAATCAAAACAAATACATCAATCAGTAAAATTGTTAAAAGCCAGTGAATACAAATGCGTTTTGAGAAGCGATCTAAAAATGGTCAGGTTTGGAGTAGATCTAATATCCCGTGGCAGACCATTCCACAGTATAGGAGCCCAAACTGAAAAAGCTCGGTCTCCCCAATGTTTCCGTCTGGACTTCGGTACTTCCAGGAACAACTGGTTCGAAGACCTAAGTGTCCTTTCTGGAGCACAATAACGCGCAAGCTCAGAGATATAAGAAGGTGCTAGACCATGTACAGCCTTATAGACAAACATCAACAATTTAAAATCAATCCTAAAACAAACAGGAAGCCAATAGACTGAGGCAAAAACTGGAGTTATATGCTCATGGCGCTGTGTATTAGTCAAAAGACGAGGTCCTGCATTTGGGACCAACTGGAGCCAGAACAATAAGGCTTGAGAAGTGCCAGTATACAGTGCATTACAATAATCAAGTCTAGAGCTAATAAAGGCATGAACTGCCTTTTCAAAATCACTAAAAGAAAGAAAAAAGCTGGCTTTGACCACAGATTTTATCTGTTCGTCCAGCTTAAGAGCACCATCAAATACCACCCCAAGATTCTTCACGAGGCCTCAAGTAGGGGGCCAAAGAGCTAGGAACATCAGAATTAGTGACACCAGAGTTACCAATTAAAACACATTCTGTCTTACTTTCATTAATATGTAAGAAATTATGTGATAACCATGCCTTAATGTCCCTCAGGCAATCCATCAAGGTCTGTAATGAGTTGCTCTTCTTGACATTCAATGGCAGATAAATTTGAATAGCATCTGCATAACAGTGAAAAGACAACCCATATTTCATAAAAATCGATCCAAGGAAAAGTAAATACAAAGAAAAGAGGACTGGCCCAAGGATGGATCCCTGAAGAACACCACAGTTCAGAGGAACAATAGAAGAGGAGAACTCATCAATGTGTACAGAAAAACTCCTTTCAGACAAATATGATTCAAACCATTTAAGAACAACTCCATGAAGTCCTACAGACTGCTGCAGACAGGACAACAAAATATGATAGTCCACTGTGTCAAAAGCAGCTGAAAGGTCTGAAAGAGAATTAACATAGCAGTATTTCCTTCATCTACAGTCAACAAAAGATCATTAAATACCCACAACAGCGCTGATTTGGTACTATGGTGTGTCTTAAAACCAGACCGAAACTTTTCAAAAATCCAATTTTTCTCTAAAAAAGCCTGTAATTGTATAAAAACTCAATTTCAAGATCGGGCTGGCTTATCTCTGTGAATGTGGATATGTTCAACAGGGATGGGTCAATGTCAAGCGGTGTGACAGGGAAGGACAGAGTGTTTTTTTCCTTGCTGAACTCGCTGAATTTTTCTCCAAATGCAGCTTGCTTTGCCATAATTGCAAGGCATAAATAATCACAATTTATGTGATCTCTTTTTTTGAGCTCTCTTAGGGAGGGGAAGAGAGAGAGCGTACCTCTCTGTACATCTCGGGCAAATGCTGTCATCTTGCGCTCAAACACCAGAACATCCTCCAGCAACTGCAGAGCTGTGCTTCCCTTTCCGTGGAGATTTTTATTCAGTGTGTTTAAGTGACTTGTCATATCCACCATGAAATAAAACTTTTCCAGCCAAACGAGGTCTCCCAGTTTGGGATAGCTGAGGCCTTTGCTTTCCAAAGAAGGGTTTCACATGTTCCACACAAGCAGCAAAGCGTTTCAGCACGTCTCCCCAAAGGGAGCCACAACAAGGAGGCTGAAGAGCCACATGTGGCTCCGGAGCCGCAGGTTGCCGACCCCTGACCTATAGGGATGAGGTGGAGAGGCTGATAGTGTGGCGCAGAGAGAACAATCTGCTCCTTTATACCTCAAAGGCCAAAAAGGTCATTGTCGACTTCAGGAGGAAGAAAACCGACATCTTGTCACTGTATATCAGGGGGACCGAGGGAGAGGGTGCCGGCCTTTTACTTTCTGGGAGTCCATATTGAGGAGGACCTGACCTGGAACATGAAAACCTCTAAACTGCTTAAAAAGGCCCAGCAGAGACCCTACTTCCTATGGGTGCCCAGGAAGAACAAGATCTCCCAGAGACAGCTGGTGTCCTATCAGTGCTCCACTGAGAGCATCCTTACATACTGTATATGTGTATGGTAAAGCAGCAGCACAGTGGCTCAGAGGAAAGCGCTCCAGAGGGTCATTAATATGGCCCAGGAGATTGTCGGCTGCCAATAAAGGATCATCTTATCTGAATATACAGTATCAGATTTGGCTTTTCCTCTCTGCTTTTTTGTTGTTCCAATAGAAACTAAAGAAATTAACATGAGAATACCAAAGAACTTGTGATCAAAACAGTTTTCTGAGAGAAGTGACGCGTCATAAGACAGAAATGCTGGAGTGCCAGTATTTTTGGTCATGACTGTAGGTGTTCAACTGGGTTGAGATCAGGTGACTATGAAGGCCCATAGCGTACGAGTCACATTTTCATACTCCTCGTGCTCTATGGAAGGGGACACTGTCATCCTAGACTCATTTACTCAGGTTCTTCCTTTAATTTGTCACCTGTTTTGATATATATATACTCACAAGTCATCTTTAAAGCTGAGGGCAAACTTGGGCTGTTCTCCAACTGATGAATCTGAGTTGGCTTGCTGCAGCTCTTTGCACTGCATATATGACACCTCAACAGAATTTCCTCTGTAAGCAAGAGCACATACCATAAAACTGCTTTCACAGAACAATGGCTTGGTACTATAACATGCTGAACAACTCATGCATCATGCTTAGTGCTCCAAGTTACACAGCAACATTCTTAGTGCTGTTCCTGTTATTTCTGTGGGAAACCAAAAAAAGCTGCAGCTCTACTATATAGTGGTACATCATTCACCAGTCACAGCACATTGCAACTCAAAGCTTTACATAAATATAAACAATGAAGTTAAAGCATATCAGTGACTCTGGGCCTTGACTATTCTAATATGGTGCATTAATATTCAACAACAGTATTTTGTATCTAGGCTTTTAGGATGCATTTAATATTAGCTGAAACACTGCACAATAACATCTACATTTAATGCAGCATTTCTGAACAAAATTACTACAGATTTAATAATAACATGCAGACGTCTTGGACTTTTATTGCACACCCAAGACAAAGTATTCAAATCACTGAGGTGCTGTAGTATGTCGGCCTCAGTCTTGAAGTGCTGCTAAAAGTTTTACAAGGCACCAGATCAGTCACTGTGCTTGTTTCATTTGAGGCCCCAAAATTTGGATCTTTTTAGGGCACAAATAGAAAGGAAGCCACAAAGTTAAGATTTCATCTGGCTATCAATAATTTCAGTATCTACTTTCACATTAGTCAACTAGCCTGTGTGACGATACAGAGAATGATGCATGTGAGTGTTCCTAGAACAAGTCACATCTGTCCAAAGCAGCAGCAAGCTCCCACCTGTTGTCAGATCCTGGTCTAATTTTAGCCACTGTAGAGGCAGCCACTGGCAGTCCTGGGCCTGAACCCAATGTCACATTCTCCAGTGTGGCACGGCCACTGGTGCTGTCCATAGACTTGCAGAGAAAACTGGGGAAGGCTTCATCTTCCAACCTGCAAAAACTGTCTGCCATGTTTTTGTACGGGTGACAGCCAAGTGTGGCTTGGCTTTAGTTCAAGTGAAGACCATTTATCTAGTTAAAATAAATGAGAAACGGAACAAGTTAGCATTACATACAAGGCCTCAAAACACACTCAACAATGTACACACTTATTGTAATGGCACGCATAGGTTACTTAAGTTGTGTATTTACTAATCCCAGGTCTTTGATATCACTTTACAACTGGGAGAACCATCAGTTATTTGTGAGTAGGAATAAATACTTTAATATGTTCATGTTATGTTTCGTGGCTACACACTTTGTTTTATCGACAAATAGAGAATATTTAACTCTAGTTAGCTTTAACATTAACTGGGTATACAAAGTTATCTAACTCTTAACGCTAGCTAACATAACGTTACTTGCTAAAAACAAGAGGGTTTGTCGAATTCGCCAGGACGCTCTATATTTGAGTTACTACATTGTCTTGCTTGATTAAGCTAGAGGAAAGTGTTGCAGGGATAAAAAGTAAAGACGGAATATATATAGTAACTACTTAGTGAACCCTGTTTGGAAACCTAAGCCACTTTAAAGACTGCTTCATTTCAGCAAGAACATTCAACGTTAACAGTCTTAAATGATCAGTTAATTGCAACTCACATTCAATACTCCAAGCGCGGGGCAAAAGACGTTTTCCTCGGACTCTAGTTCTGTCTTTATGAAGTGGGACAAACGTGTTGCAAGACGTAATAAAGGTCCAAAAGTTAAATCCCAAACACATATGGTTTTAATTATTGCTTGAAACTCAGCATATAGTGCAACAATTTCGGGGATATGCCCGGAAACGACAGGAAGCCCGCGTGAGCATCATGTCATGAGGGCGGGACTTAACCAACTTAAACCGCTTTGATAGGTCAACAAAACTGAGAGGAGGAAATTGTCAATCGTGATAGGATGGGATTCATATCATTCTGTAGAATTATGGCACACTCGGAACAGTTTGGAAAACCATCCATTGATTAATCAAACTGATGCCGGTCCTTTAAAACGATTACTGCATCCATAAAGTATCAGATAATAGAAATATAAATTACTAAACAACTGTGCAGATTTATATAACATTCAAAGTTATTTTAAAAATAACCTCACCAGTTAAACAAAACTACCATACACAAGAACATAAAACTATAAGCCTATCTAGAAAATCATATAAGCTCACAGCAGCTAGAAAGTGTGAAGAATAATTTAACATCTTACCCAAACTTAAGATAAAAAAAAAAAATACGACTCCATTCTCTCCCCCCCTCCAAAAAAGGATGATGAATCACACACCGTTTCCATAAAAAATTTCACATGCAAGTCAGTCACTCATAAATGATGCTTCTGGTTTGTGTATGTGAAAGAACAGTCAAGAATAACTTTCTTTTAATATCTTATGGCAAGTAACAACTTCCATCATGTGCAATTTTAAACCTCCATACAGTGATAATGAGAAATCCTTGCTGTCACTGTTAGTACTACTCCAATTTTGTCTGATGTACCAGCTTATATTTACATTGTTTCTATCCATCAATTATCTATACAGGTTATCCTAACGAAGGTTGTTGGACATTGGACAAGAGAAGGGGTACACCCTGGACAGATTGCTAGCCTGTCACAGGGCTGACATGTAGACAAACAGCCACACATACTCACACTCACTCCTATGGACAATTTAGTCACCAACCAACCTAAGCTGCATGTCTTTGGACTGTGGGGGGAAGCTGGAATTCACAGTTTCGTGACCATAAATACAAGATAAACAATATCTAGCTTTTTTATATTGCATTTAATGACTACGTGCTACTTAAAGGTACAGTATATTGTGACTGTTTAGTTTATAGTTTCAGTTTGTAAATCACAGACTAGAATTTATATTACACTATTAAAAAGGTTATCAAAATGGCTGTTGTGGCCATATAATACTGTACATATTTCACCAATTCTTCATCACATCTTTCAATAAATCTCTAATTTACGCTCAGAGAAATAACAATACATGAAACAGAGCAAAAATGAAGGTCTTTATTAGAATTGAATTACATTTTTGTGGCCCCTCCCTGTCCCCAAACTTATTTTAGCTAAACACCCAAATATTACTGTGGTTCAGCCTCTGGTAAGGGCAGCAGTGCTCTAGAGGGTCTGCGGGCAAGAACCAGTGGCTGAGGCTGAATGGGCTCAGCATCACAGTGCTCTATGAGGGAGGAGGGAGGCAGCAGGTGACCATACCTAGTCCCTGCTCTGGGAGGATCCAGAGGTGGAAAGTAATACCTGAAGCAATTAAAAAAATAAAAATAAAAAAAAAAGAGACAAACACAACAAATATGTGGACAGAAAGAGAACAATGACAAAGGAATACAGAGAGGAAACATAAAAGGAAGCAGAAATGAGAAATTAAAGGAGAAAAGATGCCCTAGAAACAAAAGGGAGAAGATGGCAGAGTACTGATAGAGGTTTTTTTTTTTTTTTTTAAGGTTGCTCACTGGCAAACAATATCTTGCAATTCAAAAAAAGTGGAATAAAACAGCCATGGAGTTTTCTTGCCAAAACGATACAATGACAGACACATTTCAAACACAACACATGGACAAATGGTAATTGGTGCAGGAGACATTAGTAATTTGCAGCATGCTGGTGTATCTTTGGAGAAATCACATGCCGCATGGGAGGGGCAAAGGGCGCTCTCTTGCCAATCCTGCATGCAACAAGTAGTACAATAGCACATTACTTTAACAAATGCCATCACACTCAGCATTGTGAAGAAGGTGGAATAAAAAAAAAACCTTTATGTGAACATTTTACAACCTGCATTACAAAAATGTAATTTAGTTGAAAATTTAGGTATTCTATAACATAGAATGTCAAACACTACATATATCGGACAATACTCAGATTAGAGGTGACTCAAGTCAAAAACAGCATGAATGGTAAATAAAAAGGTTTTGTTAAGTAACAGGTTATTAAGTTAATCATAAACACAGCCACATACAAACTCAGACAAAATCTGTGTTGCTCAAACATCATTCATTTACTGGCAGTGTTAATAGCAGTTAATATTACATCAAACTGTCAAATTTGCTCATTCATAATATAAATTTTAAAGTGAGCCTAAGCAACCATTGTGGAATAGTGACTACTGTGGTTATGGATGACAATGGCAAGGGCTAAAACATGGTATAAGTAGAAGACTCAGAAATGTCTACATAATGCTTGCCAATGCTAACCACCATAACCTACTGGTTACACCTGCCAAAGTAAGGATATATCAACAAAGTGTGCATTTTATTGCTTACAAATTTAAAATGTTATTTGTAAAAAGAAGAATGTGCTATCTTGGCTTTCAAAAGTTACACAGTCTCACTTGAAAGCTGCCAATGGCAACATTCATGCCCACAGTGGATGCATTTATACTATTTTCTGATGTTACTACAGTTGGTTAATAAGGTTCATTCAAGCTATCCTGCTCAGCAAAGAGTTTGGCAATATTTACCTCAAAATGAGAGTGAAAAGTAAAAATAAATTTAATTTGTTGAAAAAACTGAGCTTCAATTTAAATAAACTGATATGAATACAATGGATGCTAAGATGTTGTAGCCTTACACATTTACAAAATGCTGTTAATGTCACTACATGACAGTTCTGCTGTATGTCCAAAAAATAACTCAAAACAAGTCAAATATCAAATTTATATAAACAGGTTTATTCTAACTTCTATACCAAGAAAATGGTTAGCCTCAACACTGACAATGCAGCGTGCGAACATTCTTGGAACATGTGCCAGTACAAATCAAGAGGAAATCGCTTCTTTAACAAAACACCACAACACACTGGGCTCCACAGGCTTGATGCCAACAACCTGTATGCTGGAAGCCAAGCTCTTTGCATGAGTGCAGTACTGGGTCAGTACAGGTCCAGGGGTTTGTCAGTGTGCAGCTGCCATCCCGGTCAGTGTGAGGAATAAGAAGTTGTCAGTTCTGACTGGTTCTGGCTGGGTGAGTGGCATCCAATACATCGCACAACCTACCTTCCTGCAGACATCCCGTTCAGTGCGTTCTGGGAGCTCTGAACAGAAGAGCCCACCACAGTGCTCATGGCAGTGGGCTGACTAGATGAACCAGTGAGTGGGCTGCCGTCTCCCTTCAGGATGCCTGTGCATTTCCAGTTGCCCATGTAGTTGGCTGGAGAAAGAGACAGGAGGTAACAATAGTGCTCACACTGCTTATAACCTGATCAACTAGTCTTTTCTTACAGACCTAAACATGAGACAATCTGACCAATTTGGGCCACATACAGTATAAACCTTTCACTGTCACAAATCAATGATTGCAGGTTTAATAATGAATGTGCCTTTTACACAGACAAATGCTAACAACTTTGATGCTTTGTTGCTTTTTCTGTTTATTTGTCCAGGTTTCAGCTCTCCTTTTCTGATTACATTCACCAGGGAGAAACTGTTGAACATTTGACAATTCACTCCACTAACTTCTTTACAGTAGTGATGGTAGGCTGAACACCTAGGCTTCAAAGTGCATGTCGAGTACTCGAGGTAATGGAAAGTGAACCTTCATGTTGAGGCTTGTATCATTTAGAAAATGTGAAGTCACTGATGATGTTTTGACGCTAACATCGGGGCTAACAGTTCAGGAAGTGATTCCAAGTTGGTGGGATGCTGGAGCATGTGTTTGAGATGTAAGGGGAATGGACGGGGATCACAAAGTTTGTGGGTTTGTAGTACCAGAGATCATTGCAGTGCAATTATTTAACTTATATTGCCACAATATCAGCACCAAAACATAAGTTATCCCCAGTATGGGAGCCTTTCAGTGCAATTTCTAGCCAGTTAAATCATATGATTACTGTATCTGCTGTCATTTGTTGTAATGTTTATTTTCCTTCAGAGCCTTGGTATCAAAATTATTTGTATGACTGTAATTCATGGTTGTGTTTTTGCAGGTGAAATGCAGCTGCTAACATTTTTTCCACCCTACTGGAAAACACACAAAACAGTGTAAGCTACCCGTCCCTCACCTGTACCACCTGTCCCTCACACTGGCTATTTATGTACTTCAACATCATTAAAACAAAGTTTTTTTGAAGGCTGGAGAAGTAAGCAAATAACGTTTTTAAATAAAAATTGTTCCTCCCTCAGTCACACAAGCATATTCACCACACACATGCTGAAGAAATATTGTGAAGAATAATAGTCATCACCATTTTGACACATGAACCAGTTTCAGCTTCATCTAACTGGAAAGCTTCAATGCTTCAACTAGACTTCATCTTTCCATCACTACTTTACAGCTTTTTACACCATCAGAAAGTTTTGCAGGGATTTTAGTTGGAGGAGCAGCAGCTCTCTGTGAGACATAGATGAGATGCAGGCAGGGGAATTGTGCCAGAGCGCTGCTTCAACTGGGACAGCAGGGACTCCAAACTGCACTCATGTAGATACATCTGGCAAATCTCTGGCCAGCAAAATTAACTGTAGCTTCTAAACAGGACAAACGCAGACTGTTATAGAAAATGACCAGCCTTATCCTTTAAACATGTTTCACAGAAATCTGTTTTGTTAGCTCGGTGCACTAAAATGAATCCTCTCACCTTTCCAGAGGCGCACACAGCCATCATCCCCGGAGGAGGCTAGCAGGGTGCTGGTGATGTTCCAGCTCACACGCCACACCTGGGAGTTATGGTTGTCAAACTGAGCCACAATCTGCACCTCAAACTTGCTGGGTCCCGTAGAAGAGCTCTCCTTCCTGTGGTTAGTATACAAATCCAGTGAAATGCAGGACTTCAGTGACCACACTAATCTCTGTGCACACTGTGTCCTTCATATGACAACTTTGATCAAAAAGAAAAAAACTGAATTAGTCACCTCATTGGAATGAGCTTAAAGATTCGGACGTCTTTAGTGGCAATGGCGAGAACATGGAAAGATCTTCCCAGGTTTGGAGCAAATGCAATGTCATGGACTGCATCACTGACAGTCATCAGTGTCTCTGCTTTAGCATATTTCCTTTTTAACATTGGTAAAACAAAAATAATTAAACAGCAATTCAAAACTTACAAAGATACTTTATTGTTCATACTGGTTTATAAAATTAAAACATTTTTAAAAAGAGTTATGCATAACACTAGAGTAACACCTACCTTGTGTTTTCATTGTACTCATAAATCTGAACTTTCCCACCGTACGCTACGTTGCTGTCATCACTTCCTACTGCAAACATAGGTGGATGGGCACGCGAGCTGGGTTGTAGGGAGAAGAAACACAATTTTTCACAGATCCTGAAACTCCATTATTATCTAACAGGGTTTTTCCACTACAAGATCCTACCAAAACAGAAAGTTTAAAACTGCTTTAAGCAGTGACTTTTTTATATTTAATACTCTTCTTGTTTATGTAAAGACACATGATGTAATGAGTATCTGACTCATGAAATTGGTAAAGTCACTTGCATGAATTTCCCAGTGTTTATTTCACAACCTGCAACTACATTCTACGGTATACAAAATAGCATTTCTGTAGAAAAAGCTGTATTAAAATTCATAGTCACTCCCTGTTACAAATACTCATTCTACACCCTTTTCAAACTGAAACAAATTCAGGTTAACAGCTTCAATGTTTTGTTACACAGTGGTCCCTCGTTAATCGCGGGAGTTACGTTCTAAAAATAACCCGCAATAGGTGAACTCTGCGAAGTAGTCAGCTCTATTTTTTACAATTATTATAGATGTTTTAAGGCTGTAAAACCCCTCACTACACACTTTATACACTTTTCTTAGACAGGCATTAACATTTTCACACTTTTTTCTCTTGTTTAAACACTCTCAAAGTTCAACCTTCGTAGAAAAATAATAAATATAAAATATAAATACATAAAAATACTGTATAAACGTTTTCCTATAAATAATAATGATGGATTTTAGAACTAACGAATTTAATTTCTGTACTGTACAGGAGACACGGCATGCAAAAAGCATGCAAAATTGCACACAAAAAAAATTTTCGCGAAACTGCGAGGCTGCGAAAGGTGAACCGCGTTATAGCGAGGGACCACTGTATTGTAAAGAATAATTGGTGTGCAGTGCATGGTTTAGAAATAAATGCTAATAAGTTGTGACATTCACAACAAGCTGAATTTATGCCTTTCGACTTCAAATTAAGACCATGTTGCTGGATGGCAGTATGAGCTTAGTGGGTAAATCTCAGACCCAGTGCAGTGAGCCTTTTTCACAGCTGACATTTTCACTCATCATTGTAGAAAAAGCATACATGTTATAACATTAACTGAAGTAACTAAATGAAATTCAGCCACCACACAGGTTACCATTTACAAGAGTTTTGCCTACTTGGACATATCAAAATATCTTCATTGAAAAAGACCTGAATTCTGAAGTGAATTCCCCTGTGTGGACTTTTTATTTGTTTACCCTTTTTTAAGATCTCTAAAAAGCCCGTTCTCAGACATGTGCACTTTGCTGATTTCACAGACCCCTGCCCAGTATAGGCAAGATTAAAATGTGGGGCTTTAATGAGAAATTTTTACATGAGCTATCAGTTATTTGATGTCATAGATCTCATTACAGATGAACATATGTTCATCTGTAAAAATATAAAAACATGTTTCCCATAATGTGTTGGAATTAAATTCCTTAAAAAGAATCGCTTATTTTGCCAATTCAAATTCTGGGAGAGGAATTCAATATGAGACTACAGATGTCCGTGTTCAGATAAGAAGACAATTATGGAGTTACAGCCCCATGAACTGAACAGCAAGCTGTAAAAATCAACATATAGTATGTTAGAGCAGTAAAGGTATGATATTATTGGGATTGAGAGTCCTATAAGACGATGTGTGTTATACCATAAATTTTGTGTGACTAACATGAACATAAATAAGCTACTTTATTTTGGAATCCTAATTTAACATCTCCAGTAAATTCAATTTTCTGTCCTAATTTAACATCTCCAGTAAATTCAGTTTTCTGTCCTTAGGACCAACTTATTTCAAAGTGAAATAATATATAGCTAGTACTATAAATGCTCCAAACACTGCATTGTCATAGCAGTTTATGATACAATAAGAAACCTGTGTTCAAACCTGGAGGGATTCCAGGAGATGCAGCTGCAGCTGAGCTTGCAGGAGATCTCATGCTGCAGGGACCACTGACTCAAGTTCATCACATCAGGAGCCTCATAAATCCTCACCACTCCGTCCGCAGAGCAAGTGGTCAACATCAGTCCCATGTGTTTTGGGGCAAACTTCACATCAGTCACTGATGTTCTACTGTCCACTAGTGTGGTTCTTTTGATCTACAGTAAGACAGAACAATGTGAAATACTTGGGTCAAATCTTGTATCAAACAGAAAACTAAGGCAAAGTGACTATAGGCAGTGACTTAACAGGGCAAATGCATTTCACATCATTGGGGTTCACTGCCATAAGCACAGCTCACTGATTACCATCATTCTGGATAATGCAGAAGGCACTGAACTGATAAGTTGTTTGTGACATAGAAACAATTTCTTGTGTTCATCATGGTAGCTTAGAAAAGTGCTACTACTCACCCAGTGGCTCAGTCCTCTTTGTTTGTCATTGGACTCCCCTACAATCTCTTCCCAGACAGCAGCTGTCCTGTCAAAGGAGCAGGAAGCTAGAACCTGCCCAAATTCTGGATGAGCCCAGGTCACTCTCCACACTGATCCACTGTGTGTCTGACACACAAAGTAGAGAAAATAACTTCTGTCTAATCAGTGAACCTCAAAAATAGTTCAAGACTTCAGATTTCAAAATGTTATTGTAACTGGTGTACGTGAGACAGTGCCACAAGAGACAGTGTACAAAATAAATTGGGAAGCTGAAAAAACGTAGAAAAAAAAAAGAAATCAACTGGACTTGGTTTTAGGTAGAAGACGTTTCACCTGTGGTGGCAATTTTTATGATGGTACCCTTTTAGTGGCCATTTACCTTGTAATCCATTACTAGATGTATATCACATGATCGTAAACCTTTGCATGCCCTTGTGAGAGAGAAAAACCAGAGGTGACCTGAGACCTGAGAGCAGGTATCCCATAGTAAATAACCTCCTGTTTGACTTATCTGTTTGAGCATCTGTTTTCTGTTATAGCATGTTGGGTTCTCTGTTCAGAGAACCCTCCTTCCTGCAGGAATAAATATGTAATAACTTTCAGAATTGATGTTAAGTATTTATTTTACACTCACGGAGCTTTAACAAGATAATTTTTCCACAACACACCTCTCATCCAAGAGGCTTCATTAGTTCTGTCTAAATGGTGTTGAACAGGAGATATTTATCATAATCAGAATCAGCTTTACTGGCCAGGTGTGTCAGACACAAGAGGAATTTGACTCTGGTACATCGGCTCTCAATGTGGAGCCCTGGATGTGTAGTCAGCTGAATTTAGGACTACCGTACATCTGCCTTTGTCTGCTGGAAGGATTGTGATGGTTTCATCCTTCTCTAATGCAGCCAAAGCCCTCTCCAGAAGGGACCAAGAAGAAGAAACTACACATCCAGAACTCCCTTAGGGCTTGTGGATACCCCAAGTGGGCCTTCACCAAGCAAGGAAGAGGCCCAACACCAACAGGCACAAACCAGAAACAAGAGGGGATAACACTGTCATTCCTTATGTGGCTGGTTTATCAGAGAAGTTAAAAAGGATTTTTCGCAACCACAATATCCCAGTTAACTTTAAACCAGGAAACACCCTGCGGCAGAGACTGGTCCACCCGAAGGACAAAACAACCAGACAGAGAGTGATGTGGTGTATGCAATTAAATGTAGTCAGGAGTGTAACGACTTGTACATTGGTGAAACTAAGCAGCGGCTTCACAAACGCATGGCCCAACATTGAAGGGCCAACTCCAGTGGACCAGAGTCAGCAGTCCACCTCCACCTGAAGGACAAAGGACATTCTTTTGAGGACAGTGAAGTCCAGATCCTCTCTAGAGAACACTGCTGGTTTGAGAGAGGAGTTAAGGGAACTATTTTTGTAAAAATATAACACCCCTTACTAAATAGGGGTGGTGGACTAAGACACAACTTGTCATCCATCTACAATCCTGTTTTGACATCTCTGCCCAACATTCCCACCCTAATTCACACCAGGACAATTGGTGTCAGTCCACATGTGAGGATTCAAAGACAGGTAACGACTCTCACCGATACTGGGCTATAACTGGTCTTCTACCTAAAACCAAGTGCAGTACTTTTTTTCCCTATGTTTTATCAGCTTACTAAAACCTGGATGACTGAGAATCTGCACATACAATAACTTGGGAAGGAAACTGTGCAAATGTATTGTGGTTTTATCCAAAGTACACTGGGTGATAAAAAAATTATTTTACCAGGAAATCCTATGGTTAAAACTGATCAATCAACAGGTGGTTTACCTTCCAGCTGGCTGTACAGTGCCACTCTCCATTTTCACTTTTGTCCCAAACCTAAAAGGAATATTACAATGTCTAAGAAATATTGTTGCTAATAACTTATGTGGACACATTTGAACATGTTGAGGTCGTGACTTTGAAATCTCGAATTGGTTTACGATTAACGTTAGATTAAACCTTCTGCATCACAGGTGTTTCATACAGCCAGAGTGTGTTTCAAATGTATTTTGCTCCTACCCAACGTTACTTACGATGTCTTTACATTAGCAACCATAGCCTATATGCTACAAACACAGTGGTTAACAAACTAGCTACATTCAATTAGGTTTGAGTGTTTGAGTGTCAAAAACTGCAGCAGATTAGGTAAAAGCACGACGTTAACATTACGTCTGTCAACAACTGGTGGAAAATGAGAACGAGTAAATTCTGCTGTGGGCATGCTAGTTGCCAGCTAACGCTAACATTAACAAATTCATGTAGCTATAGTAGCTACACATAACTTACTTTAACACTTTGGTCACTGGAGCAAGTCGCCATTCTCCGCCCGTGAAAATCATACGACACATCGTGGATTAGATCTTTATGATCAGCTGCAATACTACGCGCTACGAACATGGTTGCAACTCAACGCTAGCTAGCTAGCTAGTAGGCCTGTCATGTGGCTACTAGAGTGTATGAATGTTTGGCGGGCCCTCGTAGTGTGTGCGCAGTGAGTGCATACACCTGTATTAACCACAGAGGGGCGCATTTACTCTTTAACTTTATTTTGAAGTACATTATTATAACGTATATTTTAAAACTTGTGTCAAACCGAACAGCGACGCAAATGTGATGTTAAAAAAATCTATAAAACAATTAAACATAATCTTTGAATCAGTTAGTAAGTAACATTTTGGTAGACTTTTGGTCAACTAAACGCCGGTCGCCGGGGCTGCCAGGTTTTTAGATTTACACTACCTTTATATTCACAGCTTTAGAACACTTTTAGACTAGAAGGCTGTATACAGGAATATTTGTAAAATATTACCGTGTTCTAATATATTCTTAATACCAATGCTATATCGTGTAAAACAAATTATACAAAGATGTTTAATTATTAAAAATAAATTTCTACCCTCAACTAACTTGTTATCATAACTCAAATTAAATGTAATGCACAGGTCAGGACTAATGTACGGAAATACCAGAGCATTAAGTGGCTGGAAATATTTTTCTAGTAGTTATAAATCACAACTGGCAACCCAGCTTAGTTAGCATGCAGGCAGTATTATGCAGGCAGTATTGTGCAGCAGTAGTGGACTCCCCGCAGGGATGCCGAGGGTTCGATAGATTGCGGTTTAAATGGCTGACAGAAAGGAGTAACGCTGCTGCAAACACTTTGTGATCATTCAGCAAGTGTCTAGAGACTATAAATTGTGATACAATGGAGCAAGAATTTGAAGACATTGATTCGTCCGGGAAATGGCAAAACCTATACAATGTAAGTCGGGACACTGGGCCTCTCGTGTTTCTATGACGATCGGTCGCTAGCTTACTTAGCTATCTAATTTGATAGCTAGCCCGTTAGACACCTTTCCCAGTATGTGGTGTTATAGCCTTATAGACAACACGTTTAGCTGTGCTGACCTACAGACCATAGCATATTGTGCAGATGTTACATAAAGACATAGTGCTATACACTTAGTGAAGAGGAAGGAGAAACTAGCAGGTTGCTGACTTCTGTAGCTAGAAAGCTTGCAGCTAGGAAACGTGCAGCGGTACAGTCTTCATACTTGAACAGACGTCAGCTGCAGTTTCTGAGAACTCATCAGGGCTTCCAGAGAAAAGCGCTTGTGTTTTACCACCAGCTCTCTCAGAGAGCCCAGTATTTTGTTTACAATATTTCATTTCCGGTTTAACTTAGGCTTTGACCCAGTAACTTTTCTAGTGACTACAGGGTGGCATGTAAACGGAGGGGTTTTTTTTAGCTAACAGTTACCCAGAGTAGTAGTTACAGAGAAATACTCAAAAATAAAATACAAATTCCAGTAAACGGCCAGTTTCTACATTAAAAGACATCTCTAACATTGTTACCTTTAGCCAGATAAATCATTCCGACGGAGAGCTCAAAAATCAGCTACCTCAATTGTAAATTGTCATTCACTAAAATGTTGAAACTATTCTTGTGTGCGTCTAGTTTTGTTTCCTTTTTGCTTTTATTTTTAATAGTAAATGAGTTTCTGTTTTTGTGTCACTTAAAGGGAATAAGGGATAAAGTTGTTGTCTACAAGGCTGGGTTATCACCTTTGGCTGCACTTTACACACAGTTAAACCTGTAGCAAAAATAACAGCACATGATAATACCTTCTATTAATTTGAAAAAGACAGGAATATAAAGGCAGAGTAGTACATGTCAGTACAGATGAGAGTTCAGTGATTGCAGCACAAAACACATACATTATTAAAGGGCTTTTATTTTTATCCTTCTGTGGTATTTCCTTAATGCTGACAGAATTACTTGCCACCACTTCAATTATCTATGTATGCACCAGTTTGTCAGATATTGTCTCCCATCGGTGTTGTTGTTTTTAGCAGTATAAAGTGATGGTGGTAACTTTACTTCTTGTCTCCAACAGGAAATCCGTAACCAAGCCAGTGAATATCCTTACAAAGTGGCAAAACTTCCAGTGAATCGGAATTTGAACCGCTACAGAGATGTGAGCCCATGTGAGTCATATAACAACTGAACCTAATGAAAATTTACATTAATACTGTCTTTGTGGCTTGTAATTGCTCTGTGATCTTCCAACTGGTTTCAGATGATCACAGTCGGGTAAAACTTGAAAACTCTGAAAATGATTACATCAATGCAAGTTTAGTCATGGTGGAAGAAGCCCAAAGAGCTTACATTCTTTCTCAGGTATGTTGTGTAATTGTGTAGTGTAATTGTCACTGTCTGCATGAGTATACGTTGATGAAATCTGTGAACCACATGAAGAAGAATGTTCAGGATTTCACTGACGTTCTGTGAGCTTTGATAGTAACAGGATATTTTTTCTTCTTCTTCTTTTGTTTCCACAGGGACCGTTAAGGAATACCTGTGGCCATTTCTGGCTGATGATTTGGGAGCAGTGTTCTAAAGCTGTTATAATGCTCAACAGAGTCATTGAAAGGGGATCTGTGAGTACACTGTGGCACCTGCTAATTATTCATTTATCACATCCCAGTGTTGTCTATTTTATTAAAACAGTCGGTGCTAGACCACAGATTTCTACTTATAGTGCGGAGAGGAGCACAATAACATTTTCAGATTATATTTTGGTTGCATTTGTGAGTTAATAAAATGTTGTTGATTGTGTGAAATAGGCACCTAATATTTAATATTATTTCATATCACATTTTACTGTTTAACTGTAAAAAACACATCAGTATCTGATTGGGGTGCCTGGCTGTTAGCTTGGCCTGCATCAGGCTAGCTGCACAGAATAAATCTCCATGGTAATTTACATGCCACTGCTTTGGTGAAACCGATTCACAGCTAAATTCAGCCAGGATAACTGGAAAATCCTGGCTAGTTTGTCCCTCATTCCTAAGTCCAGTGAGGCAACGTTGTTTCATATTTAAAGGAGTAGTTTGTTGTTTTTTGGAAATACACTGATTTGCTTAGCATAAAGACTGGAAAACAGGGGAAAGCTACTCTGGCTCTTTCTGAAGGTAACTAAAACCTAAAAGTTATATCTTGTATGTGAGCCGTAGATGTAACATGTTGTGGTTCTACAGGGGATTATGTGCTGAACTACTTCCTGACTAATCGCAATGACAGCAAGAAAGTAATTAAGTGTATTTCCCAAATCTTGAACTGTCTCTTTCAGTCTTGTTTTTCCATGCTGGCAATATGAAATCACATTTATAGCTATTTTTTTCAGTTTCACAAGTAAATTAGTTAGTTTTGTTCTTGAGGTTAACATTTGAAGTTACATATGACCTGTTTTACCCAGAGGAAAGATCAGAGCTTGGAGATGGAAGGTTAGAACAATGTGACTTGCCAGTTTTCTATTTATGCATTCAAACATACTGAGCTGTACCTTTTCAAAAGAAGCAGCACATTACAAATATTCCACAACAAGAACAAATCTGTTCCCAATATACAATGTGTTTTGCAAATAATCCTAAAATCCTTATATATCAAAACACTTACAGTCTCATCAGTGTTTAGGGTGAAATTCAGCAAAATGTTTTGCAGTGCTTTATGGACACTGTGTCTGACTTATAGAACCAAGCAGCTAAAAACTGTTTAGTATAATATGGATGTACTATTGACTATAATGACCCTGAGGATTAGTAACATCATCAGATGGGTTGTTTGTACATTAAACATTCCTTTACTGTGGGAATGATATTTAATAAAGTTGATAACATCATGGGATTTCTTCCAAAGTCTGTGAACATTCAGTGATGAATGCCCAGCTTGTGTGCATCTTGCACTGTCTTTATCCACCTATACTGCAGTGCTTCATTTAACACCCTTCAGAGGACCCAGAGCATGTGGCTTCCAAGACTTGAGTTAATTCATTTCTGTCCTAACAGGAAAAGTGTGCACAGTACTGGCCCACCACAGAAGAGCTACAGATGTCTTTCACAGACACGGGGTTTGTTGTCAGGCTACTTTCAGAGGAAGACCAATCCTGTTACACAATCCGAGTGCTAGAACTGCAAAATACAAAGGTGAGCATGAGAGAGAGACTGTTACTGTATAAACTTTTAAAATCTGGAGTGGTTAAAAACTGCTGTGTGTGTGTAGTTCAGGAAAGTTCATGCAGTCCATTTCTAAAGTAAGTTATTTTCAGTGCTTTGCTTATGTTCAGTGCCCTGTTTGTTTTCAGGGAAGCTGCAGCTCCTGAATATTACATAACCAATCTTCCAGCATCTTTTTCTTAATGTACAGACATATAAATGTTGTGATTTCATGGCATGTGTGTGTGATGTTTTCCCTATTGACAAATCAGCCCAAACATGCAGAACACTCTCTGTTGAACTCTCCAATCATGGCCAACATCACATTTTCTACCATAGACAGGGGAGTCGAGGGAGATCTACCACTTTCACTACACCACATGGCCAGACTTTGGTGTCCCAGAATCTCCCGCTTCCTTCCTTGACTTCCTCTTCAAGGTTCGGGAGTCTGGCTCATTGGATCCAGTAAATGGACCCTCAGTGGTGCACTGCAGCGCTGGGATTGGACGCTCAGGAACCTTCATTTTGGTGGACACCTGCCTGGTCCTGGTGAGAACAGAGAGGGGGATTGCCACCAAATGCAGCCATCATTAAAAGCAACTGTTGTATAATGTCTAAAACAAAGACTTAAAATTTCTTGGCATTCAGCTTTTGGCAAGAGATTAGAATGAGGTGCTCCTGCTATGAGTATACATACTAATCCCTGCAAATGGAGAAGTTGTGGCATGTTGGTTATATGCTTCTGTATTTAGTGAAAACAAAGTAGGCTTAACTGTACAGGGTATTATAAATATGTTTATCTGATTTGCAGATGGACAAGTGGAAGAATCCCTCATCCGTGGACATACAGAAGGTGCTACTGGACATGAGAGAGTACCGCATGGGCCTGATCCAGACCCCCGACCAGCTCCGCTTCTCCTACATGGCTGTTATCGAGGGAGCCAAACTCATCTTGACAGACAACTCAGGACCACAGGTTGTTCAGTCCCAAGGCTAGGGAGTGAGACCATACTTGCAAAATGTCTCAGGCTCATATTTGGGCTGTTAAGAGAATATTTACACTTGAATGCTAGTGTCAGGGATACTCACTGATACTGTATCTTAGACTAGACCGGTGACTGCCAGCTCCAGAAGCCGATTCCAGAGAATACATGCAAATACTGAAACCACTGTGGCATCAATTGTATGCTGTTTATAGGGCACTGCTGCACTTTCAAGCTTTTGCTTTTACATTAATATCATCTGGAGCAGCTAGAAGTGTCAGTGTACACCTCTGATGTCATCAGCTTACTTGATGCAACTAATAGGCTGACAGCAGGTATTTATGAGTTGTTTCCTGATATAGCCCACAGCTACCTGTTCCTGAGAATGGGTTTTAGAGTGAAACTGAAAGCTTCAGCTGCAACAGTGCCTGTTCTCTTTTTTTTAGAGTAATCATGTCTTTCAGCCTCATTGTAATTTTTTTGGCAAAAGTCAGCACAGCCAGAGTCTTAAGACTATAAAAAAAAAAAACAGGGAATAACAGCGTAGCCACCGATCTTGAAAAGTCTTTTAAAATATGGAGTAATTTTTTTTTTTTTTTTTAATTTTAAATTAAAATTATGAAAGTCTTAAATACTTTCTCTTGACTGTCCCAAGCAACAATGTTCATGATCTATTTTTTCTGATTTGCATTCTGGGGCATTGGGGGTGGAGGTGTGTGAGGTTTTGATGAAGTGTTGTTTCTGCAACACATTGCCATGGGATTTAAATTTAACAAAATCTGTGGCCGTAATCATTAACATGTTGTACACTCCGCACAACAGGTTTGAGTCTGAATCAAGTAGTAAATGTGCAGGACAAGCAAAAGCACATCCCCACTATGTTCACCTGCCAGTGCTGATTAAAAGCAACAACATTATTTGTATGCTTCATATTTCTGGTGTGTGTGTGTGTGTGTGTGTTACATTCCTGGTTATATGTCACAGTGTGTGTCACATTAAAAGTCATGCCTCTAATACTGGGATGCCTGTGTGAAAAGGACATGAGTGGCATTTTTCCAGCTTTTTAAGTTCAGTGTAAATAGGCGAGCTACAATAAAGAAGAGCCAGCTTCATGTCAGTATAGCAGAATCTTTGTCTAAAAGAGGCTCGTGTCTCTTGTCCCCTGCAGCAAAACGAGGAGAGCGTGCTGCCCAGATCTGCCCTTTGCTTGGAGCCAGATCTGCCCCCTCCACCACCTCCACCCAGACCTCACCTCAGTGACAGCAGGCCCAACGGCCAGCCAGGACCCTGCCTGGAGCCAGAGGCTGCCTCAGGAGACCACCTGCTGGCAAAAGAGCCAGACGCTCACAACCACACTGCGGCACACAAACCTGGGCAGTAAGTAGCAACACTCGGGGCTTAGTGACGTGAATTAGGTCAGCTGCACTGTGTAGAAAGGGTACAATTGTCGAAAAATTAAATGCTATAATTGCCTCGGACTCCTCTTTGTGTGCAGTCTTGCTATCCAAGGTCTGCTTACTTCATTTCCATCTACACTGCTCTAAAGTCACACCTTGAAATTACAGTTTGACCTCAGAGACCTTCCTTCTTACTGTTTCTGCTAGTCATTCTTAAGTGTCTTATTTTGTGTAATAATTCTTGAACTAGAGAAATCATTTTTTGAAGAAAATGCGTGTGGATGGTGAGTGCTGAAGGATCGCCCTGAAAATGCTGAACATTTTTACACCCAAATGGTTTTGCTAGGGGGCAGCACGAGGATCCCAACCCCACTAATTGTTACCACCTGTTCATGCATTAAAATGGCGCTCCACTTGTTTTGCTTTCCACAGGAACATTGCATACCCATGTAAAAACCACTGTATCCTGCTAACGAGGAGCAACTATCAACATAGCACCCACTCATGGAAAACAAAACTTTATTGCTGTATTAGCAGGTGGGCTGTAAACACTTCATGTGTCACTTCCATGTGTCAAAGTCAAATTGTTTATTTGTCATATGCACAGTTAGGAAACGTGTTTCCCTGAACAATGAAATTCTTACTTTGCCGTCCACATGAATGCCACAACCCGTGACCCCGTTCAGGGATTCAGCGGTAGAAAATGAATGAATGAATGGTTTTGCTAGCTGAAAGTATGCTGAAGAAATTAAGCGCCAAAAAACATATGGAAGAAACCAGAATAATAAATAATTGGATAACATAGTGTGGATGCTTTTCAGCATCTACACATTGTGTTAAAATGCCCTTATCTCAACCAAAAATGTAAAAACAAAACAAAATGTTATGTCACCTTTTTGCATGTGTGTGTCTGTGTGTGTGTGTGTGTGTGTGTGTGTGTGTGTGTGTGTGGATGGGGGGTAATGGTGTGTGTGTGGGAAAGAAAGAGTAGTCCTACACACTGAGAAGTTACTAGAGTGTGGCTATTGAAATGAAACATAAAATTTAAACGCTAATTATGCAAAAACCATAAAAATATCAAAAAGCTGTTTACAGTATGAATAGCTGAAGACTTGCTGATTGATTTACAGTTGAAATGGTGTTTTTAGCTCAGACTATGCTTAACTTAAGATGTGAAAAGTGTTTCTATTCATTTGAATGGGGCAAAATTTGCTGAAAAAAGCTGAATATTTTAAAAAGTATAAATGTTACAAAAAAGAAATATACAAGCCAGGATGTCCCGGAAGAGCTGACCATTTTGATACCTGAGTGAGTGTGTGTGTGTGTGTGTGAGAGAGAGAGAGAGAGAACAGCAGTGCATCTGTGGTGTGTGTGTGTGTGTGTGTTCACCACCAGCTTTACCTGACCAGTCAAACCCTCAGTGCCTCTGCCAAACCATAGGCTCTGGTTCTTATTAGCACAAAGATGCTGCCTTGTCTCTAAATATTGAGAATGGCATTACTGGAGAGATCAGCAGAAACCTGTCAAAACTGCCTGAGATTTGAGAAGTGAAACTTTATTCAGTTGCATTTTTGTTTACCATTTTAAAACTTGAATGAATCCTCTGCTGTATCCAGTAATGCCTGTACAGTCTCAGTAAATCATCTGAGTCTTAGCCATCTTTATGTCATTGTTTCTCAAGACATCCACTCTTGTCTTTCTCTCTCCTTCTGTCCATCCCTTGTTTGTGCTTTTCATCCCCATCCCAACCCATCTATGTATCTTTGTCATTCTCCACTTTCTCTCCCTGTCTTTGTCAATATGCACTTTTACATACTAAACAACATCTCAACCAAACAATAGAACATTTTTCCCATTCATTTGAATGGGGCAAAATTTGCTGAAAAAAGCTGAATATTTTAAAAAGTATAAATGTTACAAAAAAGAAATATACAAGCCAGGATGTCCCGGAAGAGCTGACCATTTTGATACCTGAGTGAGTGTGTGTGTGTGTGTGTGAGAGAGAGAGAGAGAGAACAGCAGTGCATCTGTGGTGTGTGTGTGTGTGTGTGTTCACCACCAGCTTTACCTGACCAGTCAAACCCTCAGTGCCTCTGCCAAACCATAGGCTCTGGTTCTTATTAGCACAAAGATGCTGCCTTGTCTCTAAATATTGAGAATGGCATTACTGGAGAGATCAGCAGAAACCTGTCAAAACTGCCTGAGATTTGAGAAGTGAAACTTTATTCAGTTGCATTTTTGTTTACCATTTTAAAACTTGAATGAATCCTCTGCTGTATCCAGTAATGCCTGTACAGTCTCAGTAAATCATCTGAGTCTTAGCCATCTTTATGTCATTGTTTCTCAAGACATCCACTCTTGTCTTTCTCTCTCCTTCTGTCCATCCCTTGTTTGTGCTTTTCATCCCCATCCCAACCCATCTATGTATCTTTGTCATTCTCCACTTTCTCTCCCTGTCTTTGTCAATATGCACTTTTACATACTAAACAACATCTCAACCAAACAATAACCATGGATATTAGAAGAAGCCGCTCACTGGAAAAGCAGCCCTTGCCGTTCGCCCTTACTTCGGGTGTCGTCCGCCGGGTTCGGGGATTGCGACCACGACAGGCATCGGAGACCTTACGGCCACAGCTCAGAACGGCCGCATCGACAATGGAGGCGGAGAACATGGCCCACTCAGACTCAATGTCTCCAATCTCCCCCAGGATCTGGTCAAAGCTCTGCCAGAGTTGGGAGTTGAAGATCGCTCTGACGGGGAATTCTGCTAAATGTTCCCAACAGACCCTCACAATATGTTTGGGTCTGCTGAGTCTGTCCAGCGTCCTCCCCCGCCATTGGATCCAGCTCACCACCAGGTGATCAATTGGTGATCAATTGACAGCTCCACCCCTCTCTTCCCCCGAGTGTCCAAGACATATGGCCGGAGATCAGATGAAACAACCACAAAGTTGATCGACCTCCGGCCTAGGGTGTCCTGGTTCCATGTACATTGATGGACACCCTTATGCTTGAACATGGTGTTTGTTATGGACAAACTGTGACTAGCACAGAAGTCCAATAACAAAACACCACTCGGGTTCAGATCGGGGGGGCCATTCCTCCCCTCCTTGAACCGCCACCTTATTGTGGTGGAGGGGTTTGAGTATCCAAGTGATCCGAGGAGCTATGTTGTCGGGGGCTATATGCCCCTGGTAGGGTCTCCCAACGCAAACAGGTCCTGAGTGACGGGTCAGACTAAGAGCAGTTCAAAAGCCCTTTATGAATAGAATTCAACCAAGGACGTTGAGGTTGCCCAGCATGGCGCAGCCGGGGCCCCACCCTGGAGCCAGGCCCGGGGTCGGGGCTCGAATGTGAGCACCTGGTGGTCGGGCCTCCCCTCAGGGGGCCCAGCCGGGCTTAGCCCGAACAAGCGACGTGGGGACGTCCTCCCGTGGGTCCACCACCTGCAGGAGGATCCATAAGGGGCCGGTGCACAGTGGAATGGGCAGCAGTCGAATGGGGCAAAGTTAGCTGGAAAAAAAGATATTGTAATGCCCTTGAAGAGCTGAACATTTTGATACCTAAATGGCTTTTCTAGCTGAAACTATGCTGAACCTATTAAGATGTGAAAATGTTCTAATTGGTCCCCACAAAGTAGGTAAAACAACTAGGTGTCAGTGTGAGAGAGAGAGAGAGAGAGAGAGTAGTCCTACACTGAGGATTTCTAGAGTATGCCTATTGAAATGAAACCTAAAATGTAAACATCAATTATGCAAAAAAAAACGTAAAAGATATCAATAAGCTGTTTACAGTATGAATAGCTGAAGAGTTGCTGATTAACAGTTGACATGGTGTTTCTATCTGAAAGTATGCTTAATTGTAGTAACTTATGAAATTTTTACCCATTCATTTGAATGGAGAAAGATTTGCTGGAAAAGCTGAATATTGTAAAAAGTATAAATGGTTAAAAAAAGATAATATAAGCCGGAATGTCCTGAAGAGCTGAACATTTTGATACCTGAATGGCTTTTCTAGCTGAAACTATACTGAACTTATTAAGATGTGAACATTTTCCCATTGGTCCCCACAAAGTAGGTAAAACTAGTAGGGTTGTGTGCATGTGTGTGAGAGAGAGAGAAAGAGTAGTCCTACACCCTGAGAACTACTAGAGTGTGACTATTGAAGTGAAGCGCAAAATGTAAATGGTAATTATGCAAAAACCATAAAAGGTATCAAAAAGCTGGTTACAGTATCAATAGCTGAAGAGTTGCTGAATAGCAAACAGTTGAAATCATGTTTCTAGCTAAAAGTGTGCTGAAGTGCTTCACAGCATCCACACAATTATCTGTCCCAGCAGTGGCATGGTTTTCACATTTGTAGTTTTCTGACTGCTTCCCCTAACTGTCTCTTTCAGTGTCAGAAAGCGACACCGTAAGGAGAGGATTGCCAGCACCGCACAGAAGGTCCAGCAGATGAAACAGAGACTGACTGACTCTGAGAGGAAACGAGAGAAGTGGCTGTATTGGAAGCCCGTTCTACTCAGCGTTGGTGCTGGGGCAGCTTTGGCTGTTGGCCTGCTGGTTTACTGGACGTACTCCCAGTGAAACATTCCGGGTCACTTAAAATCAACTCTTACTTTGCACCAGTACCAGGGATTAGGTACTTCTTTCAGTAGATTTAGAAGGTAATACACTATATTGCCAAAAGTATTCACTCACCCATTCAAATCATTGACTTCAGGTGTTCCAACCACTTCCATGGATACAGGTGTATATAATCAAGCACCTAGGCATGCAGACCACTTCTACAAACATTTGTGAAAGAATGGGTCGCTCTCAGGAGCTCAGTGAATTCCAGCGTGGTACCGTGATAGGATGCCACCTGTACAATAAGTCCAGCTGTGAAATTTCCTCGTTACTAAATATATTTCACAGTCAACTGTTAGTGGTATTATAACAAAGTTGAAGCAATTGGGAACGACAGCAACTCAGCCACAATTGGGTTCCCTGGTCGAGCATCTGCATCCAAGCCTTACATCACCACGTGCAATGCAAAGCGTCAGATACAGTAGTGTAAAGCATGGTGCCACTGGACTCTAGAGCAGTGGAGACATGTTCTCTGGAGTGATGAATCACACTTCTCTGTTTGGCAATCCCATGGACAAGTCTGGGTTTGGTAGTTGCCAGGGGAACATAACTTGTCTGACTGCATTGTGCCAAGTGTAAAGTTTGGTGGAGGGGGGATTATGATGTGGGGTTGTTTTTCAGGAGCTGGGCTTGGCCCCTTAGTTCCAGTGAAAGGAACTCTTAATGCCTCAGCATACCAAGACATTTTGGACGATTTCATGCTTCCAACTTTTTGGGAACAGTTTGGGGATGGCCCATTCCTGTTCCATCATGACTGCACACCAGTGCACAAAGCCAAGGTCCATAAAGACACGGATGAGTGAGTTTGGTGTGGAAGAACTTGACTGGCCTGCACAGAGTCCTGACCTCAACCTGATAGAACACCTTTGGGATGAATTAGAGCGGAGACTGCGATCCAGGCCTTCTCGTCCAACATCAGTGTCTGACCTTACAAATGTGCTTCTGGAAGAATGGTCAAAAATTCCCATTAACACACTCCTAAACCTTGTAGACAGCCTTCGCAGAAGAGTTGACACTGTTATAGCTGCAAAGGGTGAACCAACATTAAATTAAACCCTGTGGATTAAGAATCGGTTGCTACTCAAGTTCATTTGCATGTGAAGGCAGACAAGTGAATACCTTTGGCAATATAGTATATGTGCATAACTGAGGGTATTTATTTCTGTAAGGTCGGACAATTTGGACAATTTCATGCTCCCAACTAGATCAAATGAGTGTGTATAATTTTCAAGTAAGATCTTAACAAAAATACTAACAACTCAGGATCATGGTGCCAGCATGATGATTTAATTGCCTTTCTTTCTTGTCACTGTTGAGGAGCGTACTGTATGCTTTGAAAGAAACTTACTAAAGTTGCAGTACAAAGAAAAAATATTTTGACACGTTTATTTTTGCATTCTTTATTTGTAATGGTCAGATTTATATTGATCATATGTGGACAGGTTTTACATTTTGCATTTCATAATGACTTGTGTGTTGACTGCCCATCCTACCATACATATGTAGGAATATACCAGGCCTAGAGGTTAGCTATGGGACTTTTTTGTTTGTTTTTCTTTAATGTAATTTCATGCATGCATGTAGATTTTCCAGAGCTTGTTCTTCCATTCACATTTAGAGAAGCAACCCAAATATGGCCAGTTATATAGTTTTGTGTGATTGGACACATCATGGGGAGCTGCCTTGCAGATGTTTCAAAGTCACCTGGAATGTTACCCTTTTAAATAGCTCCCCACCCCCAATAGGTTTTGTTTGTCACTTGGATTGTAGAGGCTGTAGGGTCTGTCACCACTTCCACACCCACTGGATGGGTTCACATGTGTGTTCAGGTTATTCCACTGTTGTTCTTTTAGGAAACCAAAGCAAAGCTGTCTATTTTAGGACAGTAAGTTGTACTCCCTTTAAGTGGAATGTATTTTTGTATCTTTCTTTGGCATAACTGACCACCTGCATTATAAATGATACTGGTCATACTACCTTTGTGTTGTGTGTATGAGTGCACTTGACTTTTGTAATTTGAACCCATAGTATCACCAAAATGGTTTTCAATTGGGACCAATCTAAAGCTATAATAGTGCAATTCAGAGGTTAGAGCAGAGCACTTTGGATTAATCCTAAATTAGGAGGGTGATAGGAAACATGTTTGTAGCTGGCTTTTAATGTGCCTTGAAGTGAGTTAAATGAAAAACTGTGTGCTCCATGGTTTCATAGCATGATCAGTACAGAAAAGACTTAATGTGAGCTTGTTTCCTACATAATATGAAGAATATGGATATGGAGAGTTGATAAAACGAATTGTACCAGAGTGGACTGCACACCAAATGTGTCATTAGCATGTACTGACCCCTGAGATGAAATGACATATTGCTGATTGGCTGCTTCCCACACGGCCTTTACTCAGTTCTCATTTAGCCCAGCAAAAGATATGTTGGACTATAACATTCCATTCATTCCTGTATTCCACATAAGATTTCAGCAGGGTTTTATACAGTGCTGAGCTGCAGTGAGAACATGAAATAATAACAATAAAACCATTGTCTTTTTTTACCTATCTCTGCTTGTCTGCTTGCTTTTTTTTCAAGTCAGTATCAGTAAGGCAGCATTACAATGTCAACCCCAGCAGTGCTGTTTTATAGCCATAATTTAATTCTGACCATGAGTTAAATCAATACAGCCGGACTCGAGGCCTTGCACCATTGATTACAAGAATTGAATCAGTATTTCAAGTAGACCTTAGTCATATTGGCTACCATAGTATTTTCGTTTTCTTTTTTCTGTGTTATAGTATGTGTGTGTGTGTATGTCTTTATTATAATTGATGCTATGGTTATGAGGACATTTTAGTTGGTCTTCACAACTTCACATGGCTTTTTGAAAGGTTTTAGGGTTCAGGCTATGTTGGGGTTAGACATTTAGTTGTGTTGATTAAAGTTAGGGTAAGGATCTAGGGAATGCATTATGTCAATAAGGCTCTGCACACCTAATGAAAGACACAACTGTGAGTGTGGCCTGGCATTATTTGTGTTGTAGAGATGGAAGTCTGTTTACAGAGTCAAACTGTGGGGAATGGATGTTCTTATAGGGACAAAAAGCAAGTTCCCAAAATGTAAATCCTTACAATGTAATGTTCCCTGAGGTAATGGAAACAATGTGTGTGCGCTCCTGTACAAGAAAATAGAAGTTGTCAAGTAGGATATGAGATAGACGCTTTTTTTATTGAGTACAACAAAAAGAGTGATCAATTTCAAGTTAAGGAAGGAATGGGAAAATATTTATAGCGTAAGTATTAAAGAGGTTGATTTGGCATGGGCTATAGTTTGTACCGATGGATATATTAAGAATAAAAAAAAACTACAAACTGGACTACAGAAGGGTCCTTTACTAGTTGTCGCAGATCGAATGTTGTTACAGACATCAGTAGGGCAATCGATACAATGCCTAAATGAAGTGGCAAATATTTATCCTGTCATAATTAAATAAAGCTAAGACAACCATTCCTTAAATTAAGGTATCGCATCATAAATATCTCACTCGACGAATCATATTTTGTTTTATGGCATAATTGTTGGGGGAAAGGATTTGACATTATCAGGCACCAGCATATAGCCATATTCACGCTCGCTTTTCCGCCTCAGTTTAAACGGGCGGTTATGACTGGGAATTCGAGTTGTAGTCGTTTTATAGGCGACAAATGAATAGATATCTCAAATATAAGTCACATAAGACAAACATAATTGTTTATTTGTTAAGATAATGCCCTATAGTTGACGTCGATAGCTATTTTGACTTTAAACTGAACGGAGCTCATCAGCTGTAATGTCTCTGCCTCCCGAGAAAGCTTCCGAGTTGAAGCAAATTATTCGCAACCATCTGCTCAAGGTGAGCAAACGTCACAATGCTTGCTTTTCTATATGTTTGCGTTATTAAATAGTTCCCATTTTTATCCCGTATTTATTTCGTTACACAGTGTCCTGAAGGGACACTGAAACGCCAACTGCCATTCATAAAATATAGTTTTTGTATCATTTTGACAACGAACAAACTTGCACCAATAATAGTATATTAATATATAGCAGCACTAAACTGCGTGCTTTAATACGGTCAGTCAAAGGTTTGGACACACTTTCCCATTTAATTCAATGGGAAAATGTCTCCAAACCTTTGAAGGCTATGGTGCCAATCTGTTTTACGTTTCACTATAACTACTGTATTCCCTGCTCTCTGCGTGAAGTTGGCCCCCCACCCAACGCAAAATAAGGCCAAAATGGTGTCATTCGTTTGTGCTGCAAAAAGTTCGCAGATTGTTCTGCTGCCGACTTTACAGGATCTACCTGATTGACCTTCAGAGGTCTACAGGTACACTGCTCTCGGGCGTATGGTGTAAAGAGATTAGACCAGATAGATCAGATCGGACAGTAGAGTAACCTAGACATTATGTTTTTGGTCTAGTATGATTTTTATCTAGTAACGGGTTGTTTTGCTTGTTTGTTTGTTTTTTGAAAGGTATATAAGTGGACAATATTGTGGGAAATATTTATCTTGTAATTTTTGTTCCCCCCCTGTTGTTAGATGGATATCTATGGGAAGATTCGGGAGGTGCTGGCTGAGACTGTGAGGGATGATCAGGGCCCAGCACATCAGTCTCTGTCTGAGGCAGATTTCCTACGTGCTCTGCAACGCAGGGGCATCATAGATGATGTGATGAAGGACATACACTTTACCCAGGTTAACCAGCTACTTGATAATCACACTGGTAGCATTTAACTACATTTCCATTTAAGACTTCCCAACTGAATGTTACAAATAGACACTAGTGTCATTGTTGCAGTACTCATCTGAACCTACTATAGGTCCAGATGGCAACTTGTATTGTGGTGTAATGTATGAATGAAATCCCCTGCTAACTGCTGTGTACTCTTGTCATGTTGGTATGCTTTAATACTGTAGGAAGCACCCAAAGATGCAGAAAGAGGATCTCCTCAAAAGCCTGCTACTTACTTTGCAGAGAAAGATATCACTCAGCTGAAGAAAAGTAAGAAACATAATTTACAAATTCAAATGGCCTCTCTTCTTTATGCAAAGATATCATTTTTTATGTTTGAACTGTTAAGTGAAGACAATCCTTTCTTTCTCCCAGCCAACATTAACCCAACCAGGAGGTATTTGTTTCTGCAAGTGCTTGGAGGTAAGGCTTTCCTCGAGCACCTCCAGGAGCCGGAGCCTTTACCTGGTCAAGTGTGTTCCACATTCACATTGTACTTGCACTTCCGCAGTCAGAGGTTTCGCTCAAAGCCAGTGCCCTGTGCCTGTGAACCTGACCTGAAGGAGGGCTTCCTCTTAGAGATTCACAGAGATGGCATAGGTGCGTGTAAATCAGCAATAGTCTATAATTTTTCCACTTTAATTAGACATGTTCTGTTTTGAAAATGTGATGGATTCCTTTCATTAAACCCACCAATCCATTGTGTGTCATGTCATCACTTTTGGCACTGTAGGAGAGGGCGGTAAAATGGTAGACGTGACCACCATGCTGTCTATGTGTGACCGGATTCACTTGGTGCTGATCAAGACAGATACCTCCAGTGAGACGACGCTGGTCTCATCCTACTTTCTGGACTGGAGGACAGTCCTCAGCTCACCCAGTGGAAAGACCTGCTTTGCTGTAGAGCTGATGGGCGTTGGTGAGGAAGAATGATTCTGCTGCAGTCAATACAAGAGTGACAGTGTATAATAAAATAGTCATTGTATTTATTTTAATGTATCCACCTCTACAGTACTGAGTTAATATTGAATTCAATTCATTTGTAGAGTAGTTGTTTATTATATATAATAATATTACAGGCCAGAAGATGCAAACGTCTGTAGTATTTTACAAGCACTATGCAAAGGCCAGTGAAGAGTACAAGAATCTAAATTTTTTCTTATCCTTTTAACGTCTCGTTAATGATCTTGTAACAATCTTGTGATGATCTCTCCCCAGGCTGGGAACCACTGCTGTGAAATATTGACAGTTATTTCCGTATACTAACAGTTAGTTAGTGGAGGATATGCTAGGAATTTTAAGATTTTTCTAAAACGTTTGTAGTTTGCCTGCCTCTTGTGTGGGAACAACTTTCAGTAATGTGTGTGTTTGTCACTAGGAAGTGAATGTAAAGTCCCAGCCGGTGTTTTGACTGTCAGTCTGGAGCTGTTCCCTCCTCTCACCGAGACACTGAGTGCTGACATCATCAGCACACAGGTCAGCACACTTTGTTCTCTGTCTGTCCCTCTCTTTCTTCTTCTGCTTTATTGTTCATGAATAAAATAACATGCTGAGATTTAATAGCAAATCAGTTCAATAAACTTCAGTTCATGTTGTTAAGGATCAGTCTTCTTCAGGGGGCAGTAAAAGAAACATTAGAGCTCTATATTTGGTAAATGTATTTCTTATTCAGCAATCACTAGAGCGGCGGAGGATAGCAGAAAAGGAGAGGCTCTTCTTGGTTTATGCCAAACAGTGGTGGAGGGAGTTCCTCGAGATCCGACCATCACACCAATCCAAACTGGTCAAGATCTTTGCTCAGGTTTGTATATTTTCATGGCCAAAAATATTGGCACCCAAGCATTTCTGTCGTACCACTTCTCCCAGAAAATTGTTGCAATCACAAATTTTTTGATATTCTCCTGTTTATTTCTTTTGTTTGCATTGAAACAAGACAAAATGTCAAATCTGATGCATTCTACACAGAACTCCACAAATAGAGGAGGATAATAATAATCACCTTTATTGGCCAAGTATGTTACACACAAGAAATTTGTTTCCGGTACAGAACCGATGGCAGCCATCTGCGGTGCCCCCTCAACCGATGGCTCTAACCATCGGGGGCAACGGGAGGGTTCAGTGTCTTGCCCAAGAACACTCCAGCACGTGGACTGCTGGCACCGAGATTCGAACCTTCAACCTTCTGGTTGGGAGACGACTACCCACCGCACCACTGTCGCCTCCCCAGGACTGGACAGAATTATTGACACCTTCAAGTTAATATTTGGTAGCATAAACTTTGGACAAAATAACTGAAATCAGTCACTTCCTGTAACCATCAGTGAGTTTCTTCCTCCTCTCTACTGGAATTCTGGACCACTCTTCTTTTGCCAGCTGCTCCATGTCTCTCAGATTCGAAGGCTTCCTTCTCCCAGCTGCTGTTCTGAGATCTCTCCACAGCTGCTCTGTGGGATTTAGACCTGGACTCATTGCTGGCCACTTCAGAACTCTCCAGTTCATTGTCTGAAACCATTTCTGGTGCTGTGTGAAGTCTGCTTTGGGTCATTGTCCTGCTGTAAGAGCTATGACCTCTGATGGAGACCCAGCTTTCTGACACTGGGCCCTACACTGTGCCCCAGAATTCACTGGTAGTCTTCAGATTTCATAAAGCCATACACATAGTCAAGACATCCAGTGCCTGAAGCAGCAAAGCAACCCCAAAACCTCAGTGAACCTCCACCATGTTTGACTTCAGGGACCGTGTTCTTTTCTTTGAAGGCCTCATTTTGTTTTCTGAAAACAGTAGAATGATGTGCTCGACCAAAAAGCTCTATTTTAGTCTCATCTGTCCACAGGACATTCTCCCAGAATGACTGTGGCTTCCTCAGGTAAGTTTAGACAAACTCCAATCTGGCTGTTTTATGTCTCTGTGTCAGCAGTGGGGGCCCCTGGGTGTCTTACCATAACGTTTGTTCTTATTCAGATGGCGCCGGATAGTGTTAGCTCACACTGTTGCACCCTGTTTGGAAGCTGATCGAGGTTCTTTATCCCCCATCTGAACCATCCTATCACCTATTTTTCTCTTTCATCCATGTCCAGGGAGATTAGCTACAGCGCCATGGACTGTAAACATCCTGACAATGATGTGCACAGTGGACACAGGAACAGCCAGATCTCTGGAGATGGACTTGGAGCCTTGAGACTGTCCATGCTTTTCCATTATTGTGCTTCTCAAACCCTCAGACAATTCTTTGCTCTTCTTTCCTTTCTCCGTGCTCAGTGTGGTCCTCACGACACAAAGGTTGAGTCAACTTTTCTCCATTTTAACTGGTTGTGAGTGTGATTTCTATGTTGCCATCACCTGCTGATTGCCACAGGTGAGTTTCTTTACAAATTAAAGGAGCATCACATGCTTGAAATACAACTATTTCTGATGATTTTCAAAAGGTGTCAATCATTCTGTCTGGTCCATTTTTGGAGTTCTGTGTGGAATATATCAGATTTGGCTTTTTGTCTTGTTCCAATGCAAACAAAAGAAATAAACATCAGAATACCACAGAATTGTTGGGTTTTTTTCTGGAAAAAGTGTTGCACTATCTGACAGAAAAGCAAGGGGTGGCAATATTTTTGGCCATGACTAGGTGTTAAAAATTTAGCCATTATATCACATAGTGCCCTTGATTTTTGATTATATTTTTTCAAAACTTTTTTAACCAGGAATGTTCTTTACAGGTTTTTATTAAGATTATGTTAGTATGTCAGTGGTCTGGGAGGGAGACTTCTCATATTCCTTACCAGGTTAAGGATTACTGAATCTTGAACTCATCAGATTTGTGTCTGGCTCCACACTGTCCCATTACCTCCAGTTCTGTGCTATATGCAGGATGAGAATGGTGTCAGCAGACCAGTGTGTGCCTACGTGCATGTCCTCCGTGCAGGCCGGCTGCTGGAGAGTCCTCGACAGGCGGCCCGTTTCGTCAGCCTGCTGGCCCATGAGAAAGCTTCAGTGGTGGGAGGAGGTGCAGAGAAGCAGGAGCAGTGGTGCACATTAATGGCTTTCCTGTGCAGAGGGAGGGTAAGGAGAACCGGTTTCTGGCAGCCACAACAGAAAGTCATTTTTCAGAAGACAATGCACTTATTGTAATAGAGTCTTCTTTTCAAAGATGAAGATAGAGGCCAATTTATATTTTTTCATGCCAAAGTTCTCAAGAAGTGGTATGTGTTTTGTTACTTCTAAACAAAAATAAATCTTAAGGCAGTAAGTGTCTGTCACTCGCCTGGCTGAGTCTCTGGACTTGACATTCAAATCCACAGTCGCATGCACCGAATGGTGGTGTGTTCTCATAACCCTTCATACAGTCATCGATTCACATACTGGTGTCTATAAAGACAATATTGCATAGTAACTCATCTTTTCTTATACAGATATTCGCGTCATAAACTTGTAGTTATTTAGAAGAGATAAGCAAAACAAACAGTATATTCAGCACTCACTTCACTGCACCATATCTTTCCAGTCATCCACATTGCACCTTCTGTAATATTTTCTCTGGTCAACCCTTCCATGGATGAATAAAATCCACCCTGGAGATGTTTACACTGATCCTGTCACAGGTCAAGTCCATGATCTCTGAGTGTGGCATGGACATTTTTCTAAACAACCTGTTTTTCTTGGATTGTTTTGAAGCCTCTGAATTACTGCACTGCAGTAGTGCATGACTGAACCTTCCATTGTCAAATATCACAGTAGATTAAACTGTTTCCCTGTCTAGATTTTCCCACCTAGGTTTAGTAGCTCAAGACCATAGTTGCATGATGTGGAATAACTATCATAAATACAAATACAATCCTAGCAAAACAGTGGTGAGTGAAGGACAACATAAATGAATTAAACACAGTAACACATTCACAGTAACATAATCAGTTAACAGCATAGATGGAAGTTTGACCACCCTTGTTGCTCATTATGCTTCTTTTGTTCAAACAAAATGTGATCCTCATCTCCCAGACAGTTGCCACTGCAAAGCTTGGACACACTTTAGCCCTTTTTCCACCGCCTATTACTGGCTCAGCCTGACTGGCAGTTTTTGTGTTTCCATCAGTCAGTTGACGATAGTACCTAGTACTATTTTTGGTATCACCTCTGTTTTGGTCCAAGCAAGCAGAGGCGATACCAAACGATGTGTAAACACTGCAGGCTAGCGATGGGTCAGGGTGAGAACCAGCTACACTGCGGTGGGGGCTATCTGCAGTGAAAAATGAAGCATCTGGTACCAAAAGCAAGTAGGGTAGAGAAGAGTGGAGTCAAGCTGGTACCTGCAATGGAAAAGGGGCTTTTGATTCCTGTTCAGGCTCTTCCACTGATATCTGGCTCTCTGGTGTTACACCCACCATTACAAATGGTGTTTTTTTGTTTTGTTTTGTTTTTTTAATCAAGTCAATACTTTTTAATGTAAACTCCAGTTTAAATTTCAGCAGAAAAATCTGTCACGGACACCCCATGTTATAGCTGCTATTGTGTTTTTGTGTTTTTAGTAGATACCTGAACATGCGTCTTTGAGAGTATTGTAAGATGACAACCAATTGAATACTGTATTCAGTGACTGCACTTGATTTAAGTGTTATGTCATCTGCTCTGTGTG